CTTTTTAACTTTTTAGTATTTTATATCGTAGGCTTTTCTTTTTGTTTTTTTGTAATATTAATGTCTATGTCGTTATTAACGATTTATTTACATAACAGATTTACGTATGTAAACCTGCAGGTTTATCGTAATAATGACATAATACAATTTACAAAAAGACTGATATACTTTGCACGATGGATGGGCCACTGTTGTAGGTACTAAGTTGGAAGGTAGGATATAGAGGGAAATTTAATTTAGATATTTACCCAACGATTAATCTTTGTTAACGAAAAACAATTCTGAGTGAAGTTCATTTATATATGTTTGAAAGGCCGTAACATTTACGATTTTCGTCAAAATTTGATATTAAACTTCTTATAAAAAAAAAAAAATATTACATTCAGATCAACTTTTTCTTGTTGAACATTAAGTAGAATTTATAATGAACCTTCTATTCAATTGATCAGAATTTTAGTCTAGCAATTTTATCTACAGAGTACCTATCAAATAAATATTACGTACAAAAATAGCTTAAAAATGGCTCAAATGATTTAAAAATTTGATCATGTCTATAAAAGGCAAATGCACGGTTTCTGTCAAAATTTCAATTTCTATGAATATTTTTAATTGATTTACAATATAAAACCAAAATAGAATATAACCAAACCGTTAACTTTCCTGTTTCCTTGAGTTTTTTCTCCTATTTTATAAAATTATTGAAAAAACTACATTGAAAATCGAAAAACGATTATTTACCTTACTCTCCAACTATAGATCTCAAATCGCAACATGAAAGTTGTTTTATAGTTTTTCGGTTGGTATTTAACATTAACTGTCAATATTTAGAATGATTTAATCGCACGCCGTAAATTTGTCAGTTTTAATTTTACGTCTTTTTCCAAATTTTTCCAATCATTATGAAAACTGTTTGAAAAATCAAAATTATTATGTATTAATTTTAACCTCTACTTCTGATTTATATTAAACGAGTATTTAAATTTGGTAAAATCTAGGCCAGAGTTATTGAAAGGTAGTCAATTTCATATCAATTTTTAGATTATAATATTTAATAGGCACTAATAACTCCTCTGGTTTGGACGTTTTTCTGTTATAATTCATAAACGATGATAAATCAAATATTACAGTGTATGTTATATTTTAGGTAAATCAATGCGTGTGGAGAATTATTCTCTTAACGAATCTGGTTTTTAAAAGGTACCTGGGTTTGACTGGGTCGTATAATGTGAAAAAATCGTCCTATATACACGACGTGGTGTCCTCATCACGACAAATAATTCGCGGTTAAAAAAAAAAATTCCCATTTATACTCATCGGTACTGCACTGGTCACTGGATGGATTGAGACGATTGAGTCATACGATTATCGTGCAATTTAAAAGGTGAATTAATTACGTTCGTTTTTTAAATTTAAGCGAGTTAAAACAACTACTAAACCATTCTTATTATACCTAAATAAAATTGGCCTTTAAAATAATGGTAAAATTATATTCTATTGAGATTGAGAATATTGAGTAATTGACCTTATTTAAATAAACTATTTGTTTAAACATTTTTACAAGGAAAACAAAACATCCAATGAATGCTATTTCTGTGGGTTTATACAAATATCATGTTTCCAAAATGTTTTAAATTTGCCGTAGATGTTAGCATCTCTTCCGATTTCTTCTGCTACAAACTGAATATATTTTTTTACTTTCAGGCGAATTAAAACTAACGTAAGGAAAATAATTTATTTTGCTATTTGATACTAAGTGTATATTAAATACGAGATAAAATAAATTAAATTTTTTTTGAATTTACTATCTATTAATCGAGATTACGCATAAACACCATACGAAGTTATCATTGAACTGTATTAAAGATTAGGTTAGGGTAAAAAATTTAAATAAAAACCTTCGTTTACAATATTATTTTTATTTTAGTTTATATAGGTAATATAGGTTATATATATATATGTAAGTTTTAACTATTATCTACGATAGAACTTATCTATTTTATTGGATGAAACACAGAAAGTTCTTCTCTTTATATCTACATATATATTATATATGTGTCATTTAAATTCTTATTAAAAAATTGAAAAAGTCTACTGGCTATTTCGCAATATAAATAATAAATCTATAAGTATAATCCTGTATACTAAATACTTATCAGAATCACTATGATAGGTTTAACTTTTTGAACTTCTTTTTCATTTAAAATACAAAAATTCAATACTATAATATTACGAATACATAAAATACAATGTTTTAAAAATATTTTAGGTTTAGTTTTAACTTCTAAGAGGAGCGAAGCTTATGGTTTTAGAATCTTTATGCAACTTTTCTATCAAAAGACTTTCTCAGATTTTTAAGTGTAACACCTTTTTTGAAAGGAAATCGGTAAAAAATTCAAAAGTTGTCATAGAATAATGGGGACGAGTCACTGTTATGGGTAATTTAATGTATATCTGTAAGTAACGATTAACCATTGATAATGAAAAAATGATTCTGGATGACATTTGGTTGATAGTGTTCCTTTGTCAACAATGTATATGTCATATTATGGTAAAATAATTACATATACATTATATAGTTTTTTTTTTTAATATTATTTGTTTAATATTGTACCTATTTTCTCATTTTTTTTCATTTTGTGAAAATCAAAAATTGACGTCGCTTAAATGCAACCCCAGTCAGATTTTCTTTTAGAAAAAGTATTGTCATTGTTAATTGAAGCGAAATTGCTGGTAGAAAAATTGTTCACAGGATTTAAAAAAGGCCGTAGTATATTTTTACTTTTACCTATTTCGTACATTTTCACAGTTTTCCTGGTTTTTTTTTTTAGTTTTTCCCATTTGATAATTATATAATATTGTTTATTATGTATAATATAATATTTTTCATGTAATATATATATATATGACATGTATAAAAAAAGAATTATAACTCCTATTAATTTACATATTATTTTCGTTTTTTTTTTTAAATTTTCAACGACAAACTAATTCAAAGTTTAAACTCGGACTCGGGGGGGGGGGTCCAAACCCTCTGGACCCCTTTGTAAAACTACCACTGCGAATGATTCTATTACTATTATGTCGATTTTCATCTATTGTATCGCTGAAGAAATTCTAAGGATGGTGACCACATATTCACAATGCGAAGTTCAAATTCTACATATAATGTTGAAATTTACCACCAATAGGTAGTACCATATTCACCATTGCTTTCAAAAATGTATAAAGCTTATATTAGTATCGAGTTTTGTAGTTCCGTAAATCCATGAAGTACATATGTAAATATGTTGAAGTACTTAAAGTATTTGAAGTGGAAAATATAAATAAAAATTACGAAATAGCAAGATACCAGATGGGTAGCAATGAAACTATCTGGCGTAGTTTTAGGTTTTCCATACACGAAAGAGAGCCTCCTGTCTAGTACCATGCAGTACATCTTGAAAACGGTCAACGTGTATATTCACCCAAACCAATATTCTCAAAACAGCTCTTGAGCCATCCAAAATAGACATAAACTGGCTGACCGAGAAATTTTAAACATTTAATGTTGATTTGTGGTTAGGTTCAACTCTCGGAAACTCTTTACCAACCATTTTTACATTTTGACCCGAACGTTCCATTCTGAATCCCGTGAATTATATAGGGGTTTTTAGGTATTTTTTATAAGAATATCTAATTGTTTATGTAAATTTACTTATTTCGTTTTGTTTATTAGTGGATTACTTGGGAAATACAGATGAAATAACAAAACAAATCGGCCTGGGTAACCTCGGACAGGATTTTTGGGATATTTATTACATATAGGTTACCTTGGTGACACGGATGATAATTTGACTGTCACGGACAAGAAAACTACTATTATTATTTACACTATTATCTAGTAATAGCAAAGCATTGCCAGGTTAACTAGTGTATTATATAAATAAAATAACATATTTTAACCGATTGACTTATCAGATCAATCATTATCGCCTACCATTGGACGGATTGGGGTGCGATTTGGAATGCTTATAGCTATATTATGACGTAGTCATCCGTTAAATAATTTTTTTGAAAATTCAACCCTTAAGGTGGCAAATACGAGTTTTTATGCATTTTTGGTACAAGTATCTAATGGTTTATTTATTTTTGGTTATTCATGTGTTACCTTGGTGATACAGATGAATTAACAAAATAATTTGCCCGGGCAACCCCGAACCGAATAGCTGAGCGTGACGGGAGGGTTTTCTAATATTTTTGGGACATTTATTATGTATACTTATTACATATAGGCTACCTTGGTGACATGGATGATAATTTGGTTGTCACGGACAAGAAAACTATTATTTAGACTTTTATCTAGCAATAGAAATACATTGTCGGGTCGGCTAGAATCAAATATATTTTCATTTGTCCGCTTTAATTTTACGTCTTTTTCCGGTTATTTCCAATTATGAAAACTAATTGAAAAATCAAAAAATAATCGCCTTGCTGAGCAACTAAATCACAAAAAGGTATTTTGTGTCTTTTTGATGGAATGGAGATTTCTGGTAGAAATCATTCAAAAAAACACATATCATAGTAAACCCAATAGGTCTTCCGTTTTACCCCGAATTCAAAATGAGACGAATTTAAATTATTTCAGCATTTATTTTGAACATAGTGAAGTGATAGGACAAATATTGTTTTTATTTATTATATATACTAAATAATTTATAATAATTAAACATTATAATCATAATATTATTCAAATTTGTAATAATTATAATGGTCTCCAATATTATGTTGAATGCCACTTGGATGTACATTATTATAATAATTTGAATTTGGAGATTGTTGTACTTACTTCCAGTAAAACATTTGTATTTTGACTCAATTGTGAACTATTATCTATTATTATTATTATTTTATTAGGAATTATGACCTCTAATATAAGAGAAGCCTTGATGATTATGCCCATAATCGACACGAGTATTATTATAGTGCTGTTTAAAACTATAGCGTTGACCATAGTTATCGCTCTATTGTGGTGATTTTTGGTTGAATACAATATTTTTGTCTCTAGCCAAAGCAGAATTTTGGGTAGCTGGTGTACTGTTTATTTTTTTTCCAATAATGTTTCTCGTAGAATGGTTGTAAAACTTCAAAATTGATGGACATAATGGAAGAAATCCACTGGTTTGATGCTTTAGTTGATCATTACGATTTTGAGAGAAATTTAAATATTTTTTAGAAGTTGCAGTAATAGGTCCATATTTTAGAAACGGACCAGTAGTCGAATGCATGGCAGTATTCTTTCTGTCTTGATCTCGTATGATACTTGTGACTTTTCTTAATAATTTTGTTGGTAGCTTTGTATCGTTTGTGGGCAATTTTGAATGATATTCTTTGGATGGAGTAAACTTTGTTTCATTCTTATTAATCAGATTACCAGCACAACGTCTTTCTTGACCACCACTCCCAACTTTTTCTCTACCAGCCTCTGTATAAAATTTTGTGTCTTGCCAGATTTGGGTATTTTTAACTGTAGTAATATGCCTAAAAAAAAAATTTGTCCAAAGGTAATGGAGACAGGTAAATCCATTATTGTAGGTGAAAAGTTGGGAAAGTAGAATATAGAGGGGAAATTAAATTTTATCTGTAAGTAACGATATACCATTACTTACTAAAAGCGATTCTGAGCGGAGTTAAGTTGATAGTAATACTTTGTAAACAACATATATGTCATATTAGTGTATAATAATTAAATGAGCATTACGTATTTTCTTTTATAATATTTGTTTAATAAAGTTCTGATTTTCTCGTTTTTCTTACATTTTTCCTGGTTTTCCTATGATTTTTTACGATTTTTCACATTTGCTGGAAAAACTCTTGGAAAAATCGAAAAATAACCTCTTTAAAGTACCTCCCCAGTCAAATTTCCTTCAGACAAATTGCTATCATTATAAATTGGAGTCAAAGTTGTCCACAGGAAAAAAGACTGACAATATTTTTAACTAATATAAATATTTCTTATATTTTTTCGTTTTTCCTCAATTTTTTTTTGGGTTTTTACATTTACTGAGAAAGTTCCTCACAAAATCGAAAAATTACCTCCCTAAAGTACCACCCCAAGAAAATATCCTTTCAGAAATGTATACATAAAAAAAAAAAAAAATTATAAACAACTTTATGAAACTAATAAGAACATTCTTCGCTACACTCAGAATCTAAAAAAATACCGTATTATTTTCATATTCTTATAATGTATTACGATTATAAATGTATTGTTATTTTTAAATTACCCATTTTTACAGTACCGCTCATCTCTATGTGCATTAGTTTCTTCTTGTATGTTGTATATATGAGAAGTAAATAAATCGTTTCGATTTTTACGAGTTTGTTCTCGTTCATCATACATATCATGTTCCCACTTCTCCAACAAATCTATATTCCGAGATTTTTTTCCATCCAGTTTTTTGATCGATCTATCAATGTTAGTAGTTATCGGAATATTAATTGTAGTTTGGCTGCATCTAAAATAAAAACATTTATAATTATTTATATTATATTATTTAACCACTCATTAGCTAAGAAAATTTTTAGTATTAAATTACCTATTTTCCCTCATGCTGTCATATAGATACGGAGACAATAATTTTTAGAGATTTGTTTACGTTTAATTATATCTTCCCAAATGTCGGATTAGTTTGTGTTGTTGAATATAAATGTTGAGATTTCTGTTGCGATGATAACTAAACATATTTATACATAATTTTATTGTGGGTAACACTATATGCACAGAAGAGTATAAAGGGAATATACTTAGTCAAATACGTTCCAAATACAGTTTTTTTTTTTTATTTTTAGCGTTCCATCTTTTTTCGAACGCATAATCCGATTCACATTCTTTAGGGTTCATTGTACTAAAGGTCATACGGTTGTCGGATTTTCATAAAATCGACCACGTCTTGGTACATCTTGTGGGTCATTGGAACCATAATCGGTGGATACGGGTACTTTTGACGTGGACGATAATTTCTGAATTTAATTAGTGACTAAATATAAAAGAAATTATAATATTAAATTATAAGTAATAATAATACAATGTCATTAACCTAAGTAGGTATAGTATGCCAAGAAATGGGAAATTATTTACAAAGATTTTTGTAATTGTTTACATTTTCAAAAAATTTGACTGTATTATTACTTTGCTTTTTTTTTTTTAAACGTTACGCCTACTGCCATATCCAACTTTTGTATTATCGACCCTAGCTTTTGTATTTTGCCAGATTCGAGTATATTAACTAAAAGCAATAAAAAAATAAAATAACAATAACAAAAAAAAAAACAGTTAAAATTCTTAATTAAAGGTGGGTTGCCTAAATAGTATAGTATAGGCAATCTAAATGTATAAATAAAATAGGCTAAATAGTATAGGCAAATATTATCGGCCCATGGTATAGCCGCTATGTACATTGTACCTATCGGCTTTTGTTTTTGGTGGTTAAAACATTTATCGATGCCATGGCCAATAGTACATACTAGAACGTATCCAATGAAAATTTGTATCTTTTGTAAAATGTCCCCTACAATCCTCATGATGATTCTCCATAAGTTCATTTTGGTATCCTTAGTAAATCGTAGACATATTCTTAACATTTTATTCTTCCAGAGTTCATATTTAGTTTCATTGATTCTTCCTCCCTTCTTTGTTTCGTAAACTCTAAAGTATTAACCCGGAGCACTCGTAACTGAATCTCATTTTTTATTTTTCTTCNTAAATAAAAAATGTTATTGTAAATTGCATCTAAAAATATTAAGTTAACTAAAATTGCTAAAAAATGTGTGAAATACATAGACTTAAAAATTAAATTTGAAAATTATAGGCTATTCCACGTGGGTAAACGAGAATGTTCAAGACCAATCAAGATAATCAGAACAAATTTATTTAATTCTCTGAACTTTATCTTAGTATTTTTTTTTTGTAGGTTCAGTTCTCTCTCTCTATATATATACTGCTCAATTTCGAGTAGATTTATGTTTTTTTCTTTTTCTTTAACGCTTCAATTCAACGACATATTAATGGATATTTACCACATAAGATTGACTTAAAACAGATATTTTAACCTACAACGGAATCAATTGTTGTTGCTAAATTTTGTTATATTCTTAAAAAAATAGTTCCAAATTTAAATTTAAATTTTCGGTTGTTTTCGTCTTTTTCGTCTGTTATTGTAATTTTCCTAAGCAAGTATTTTCGAAATAGTTTAAAAACTGTTCTAATATTTCTTCATTTTCTGTATAGTAATTATATTCAAAACATACGCATATAAAATTACTTTCAGTTGAATACGTCAAACGAATTTGTTGTTGGCGAATAATATTGTTCTTCGATCAATTGTAGTTTGCGAGCAATTGTTTTTTTATTAAAAGTTTTCGAGCAATTCTTGTGCGATCAATATTGTTTTTGATCATTTTACATGTATCCTTTTAAACCACATGCCATAAACGTGTTAATGCCTTTATTTAATTTTGTTTTAATATTTTTGTATTTACCATATTATATTTTATTTTAGTTAATTTTTACAAACCAAAATGTATAATGCAAGCCTTTTCGTATTAACAAATAAAAAAATAAATAAACTATCGATATTTATGGTGCCACATAGCTCTCGGTATTGTGGTGTCATATTCATACGAAGAAAATGTGGCACCACAAATTTGGCAGACAAATCTTGGCTTTCACTAGTTTTTATTCGTTCATTATATATATCATGAACCCATTCGTCCAACAAATCAATAGCCCAAAATTACTTCCTATATAACCTACCTAGCTACTTTTCTCTCCACTTAACTGTGTGGATCAGGTTTCAGATTCATTACCTGTTTATTCTTTACTAGTAGTCCCGTCCAGTTTTACCGAGACCAATTTTTTTTTTTTTTTTGATTTCGTCCGTATCATCAAGATAACCCATGAACAAACAAAAAAATAAATAATCAATTAGTTACCAAAAATATTTAAAAACTCCTATTTTACCTTCTTAGGGTTTGAATTTCAAAAAATCATTTTTTAACGGATGCCTACGTCATAATAGTGATCTGTATGCCAAATTTCAATCTGATCCGTTTAGTGGTTTTGGTTAGGCGATGATGAACGATAATTTTACTATAATATGTGTTTTTTTTTCTTGTCTGTGAATAACTTTTCTACAGAAAACTTGCTTTTCTCGTTTGTGCATTGTTAAAGTATTTTTTTGATTTTCTAACGGATTTTTGAAATAATTGAGAAAAACCGAAAGAAAATTGTAGCAAAAACGACAAATATTTAAGGTGTACCGCGGTGTTATCGTTTTCATTGTGTTATAATTAAGTTTTCTACCAGAAATATTATTTAATCGAAAAATGACAATTAATCAATTTTGTTCCTGTTAATATTTTGCTACTGACCGAGGAAGTCGTTTTTAGATATCCAAAGCAGTTTTCCAAATAATTTGGAAGAACCAAAAAAACGAATTATATGATTTTATTTTTCAAATTACGGCACAACAATTTTTTTAAATTATTACGGATTATGTTTTCTATAGATATTGTTTCAATAGATAAACGACTAGAGGTCTTTTTTGTTGAATTATTAATCTAGTTGGTGACCAAGAAAGTCGGTAATTTTTTTAATAATTAAGTAAAACCAAACCTAGAAATAATGGGAAATTTTACGAAAATATAATGCTTTTATTATTTTAAATTTTATGTTTTCGTTTTAATTCAATTTAACATATTAATATATTCGTAGAGACTTAAAGTATTTACAGAACATTTATTTTTACTTTTCATAAACATGGTAAAACTTTCAAAACATTTGAGCAATTTTTGAGGTATTTATAGACATTTTAATTTTGTGAGTTTTTTACGTAATTTTTATTTGGTAGGTACTTTGTGGATAAATTGGTAGACTTAACAAAAATGCTTAAAAGTAATAATAAATATAATAAATAATAAATATGATGAACAATAAATTTTCTTAGTCATTATTGTTCTGATTTTTCTAACATTTGTTTTTCCTTATTGCCATCTAGTACCGTGTATCTTATATTTTTCACCATTATTGTATACTTATCGCACAACAACCTGTGATCTATTTTGTAAAAATGTCATTTGACGTGTATTAAATGAATAAATAAATAATTGACTGATTTGATTTCTCGGAAATTTTTATAAAATAAAACCAATTGTCTAAAAGCTCAACAAATATAATATAATTAATCGATATAATATATTTTATTCTTATAGCGTTCCTACTCCCATCCCCTCAATTAATTTTTTGTATTTTTTTCAAATAATCGTACACTACACGCGTGATTTCAAAAATATATTTATACCTATATAATATTATATTATATTAAACGGTTACAGATTTAAATCCCTATCCAAACGTCAAGGCTCCGGGGTAATGCAATATACACATAATATTATTATAAAAGTACTTCTTTCGAGGGGTCGGTAGCGCACGGAGCGAGGATATCCTATATTCCTTGCAGCAGTGACGGAGCGAAAGGGGTACATTTGAATCACGTGATTCACAAAAAAAATGTACCTGTGTGTTCAGAAATATGACGAAAAATATTAAGTTTTTACGAAGTAAAATTAATTAAAAGAATTTTAGACTGTGGAAATTTTATAAATTTGACGAATTTAATTGGAATTTGTTAAATTAATTTGTTGATTCAAGAAAAAAATACTTCGAGCCGTCATTGCCGTGCATACATCTCATCTGTATGTCTGTAACAGCGGACTATTTCAATAATCTAAAAATGAGAAAACATAAATTACTTATTTGTTTAAAAAGAAATATTTTAACTCAATATACGACGATGAGTGTAGTATAAAATATATTGTCGTACTACCTATGTCATATACGGCTACAACACGTTTGGGCGTTTTATCTCGAATTGCGACACGTTTGGGCACTATAGTTTATAGGTACTCTATATAGTATTTACCTGTAGTTAATAAATATGTGTTTAGGTTTTTGTGTACGCATAAAATATACCTTTAATAATATAACCACATACAGGACTTTATTCGATAATAAACATTAAAGTGGACTGCGATAAAATAGGTTATCACAGACGGACGGCTGAGTTATAAAAAAAATATCGAAAATCCATCAGTAATTTTCTAAAGTTATATTAATAGTATAATATCTACGTTTATCTTACATCATATTCGGTCCACAGTTTCTTGTCACGTGTTGTGCACGGTGCGAAGCGTGTGTCATACGAAACTTTTACAAATTAAAAAACAATAATATTATAATTATGGACTCGATAGATGATATTACGTTTGAAGGTGTACTATTATTTTGAAAATTTGATTCAACTCGAGTTTTTTATACATATAATATTTATATATATATTCTATTATGTTGCTTATATACTTCTTAAAACAAGGTATATACATTTTTAATGCCCAAATGTGGTGTCTTTTTACTTTATATAGATATCGAGTGCCCAAACATTGAATACCGAATACCGAAAAGGTGAAACTGTTAAAATGCTCAAACGTGCTGCACTGATACATACCAGGTGATCTATTTAAATGGGTACACTTGATATCTCGGAAAGTATTACA